TAAGGTCGAGGGAGCAGGAGCGGGGGAGGCCAAAAGGGGTGACGGATTATAAATGTGTTGTGACATCTGCTAGCAGGAGGGCTGAGACCAGAATGGCATCAGCGGGGCAGAGTAGGGGGAGCGGGCTGTTTGTGTCCCTTGTAAGGGTCAGTCAGAGGAACCACTGGGACCAGGTGCGGGTGGACCGGGTGTAGGCGGTCCACCGGGAACCGGGAGAGGCCTGCGGCAGGTGCTTGGCGCAGGTGGAACACTTTGGTCAAGAAGAGAAGCGCTGGGCCCTGGCCGGTGTGGCTCAGTGGATAGAGCGTCGGCCTGCGGACTGAAGGGTCCCAGGTTCTATTCCGGCCAAGGGCACATGCCCAGGTTTCGGGCTCGACCCCCAGTAGGGGGCGTGCCAGGAGGCAGGCAATGGATGATTCTCTCTCATCATCGATGTTTCTCTCTCTCCCTCTCTCTTCTTCTCTGAAATCAACAAAGAAATATATTTAATAAATAAATAAAAAGAAAAAATAGAAGAGAAGAGCTGGTCTCACACAAGCTGTACGGTCATCGGCAGAAGTGGGAGTTTGTCGGGCCTCTTCACCGGGCGCGGGATGTCTCGTAATTTTGGCATTTGCTCATGGATTATTGAGTCAAATATTTACGATCCCATTGGCTTCACTTATGTCCTTTGTGGGTTCTAATTTCCCAGATGTCGGACCTCTCACATGGATCGCGGGGTGAGGAGTGGCCAGTCAGGGCCCCAGGGGGACTGGCACCCAGCAGGGAGCAGCCTGAGGTTTCCTAGGACTGAGCGCAGCTGTGAGTCCTGCCCACCAGGGGGCGCCGTTTCATGCAGAACCTGGATTCTCCCTGAACACGTGCAATCTACCACCCGCCAGGAGGCGGCGCCTGTAGGCTTCCTTTCTGGATGCAATGGCTAGGGACTCCAAATGGCAGTTTCACTTGGATTAGGAGTTGTTCAAAACGACGGACCAGCTCTTCTCTCCTGGACAAAAGAGGCCTTTCCATAGCCCTGCCCAGAGGACTTAATGGCTGTGTCTTCCGATGTCACACCCACAGGTCTACCGCCCGCCACAAGGCGGCGCCTGTAGGCTTCCCCTCTGGATGCAATGGCCAGAGCGACTCCAAATGAGTTTCACTTGGATTTGGACTCGTTCAAAACCCCCGGCCAACTCTTCTCTCCTGGACAAAAGAGGCCTTTCCACAGCCCTGCCCAGCGGACTTAATGGCTGTCTCTTCCGATGTCACACCCACAGAGCAGCAGACGAGAAACTGAGGCCACCAGGAGCCCCGGAAGCTTGAGACACAGATGCCGCTGAGCCCGGGGAAGGTGTGAGCGTGGAGGGCACAGGCCTGGAGGGGCAGCAGGTGACCAGCCTGGTGGTGTGGAGGCACAGGAGGAGGCCATGGAGGAGGAGCCGGGAGGGAGGAAGGTGACTCAGAAGGCCTTCTTTGAGAGGAAGGTCAGGGTCTGCATGGACGGCCCCTGTCAGGGGATCATCTGACCGAGACCCGGTGCGGGGTCTTGTACAGATGCGATCGTTTAATTCCTGTTATTTTCTTGTAAAGACAGAATAGCCTCCAGGTGCTGACACTCAGACAAGTTAACGGCCTCTCTCCAGCTGACTCAGTCCACATGAGCCCCAGGTGGAAAGTGGGACCCGCACCCCAAATCCTGATGTTGCTGAGCGTTCCCCTGCCCCCTCCCTGCTGCCCCGGGAAGGCATCAGGGCCCCCTCAGTGGTGGCTGCAGAGACAGGTTCCACACTGGATCCGGGGAGCCGGGCTCGCTGTCCCCCTTAAGCAACACGGAATCTATCTCCCTGCTACCAAGCCTCATCATTAGTAACAAAGAAACAGAATTTCCGGAGGATAAGGCCCAGAAATCAGGATTTTAACAAGATTCCCAGGTGATTCTAATGTGC